CCAAGAGGCAGTCATTCAAACGGAACAAGGGGGTGCTGAAGGTAAAGTTTAAAATCAGGAAAGGTGTGTGTCAGGGTTGTCTCCTTTCACCATGTTTATTCAATCTGTATGTTGTGTAAATAATCCAAGAAAATGGATGATATGAAGAAAAACGTGGCATCAGGATTGGAGGAAAACTCCTTTACAACCTGTGATACGCAGATGATACAACCTTGCTTGCTGGAAGCAAAGAAGACTTGAAATATTTACTGATGCTGATCAAAGATGTCAGCCTTCAGTATGAATTGTACCTCAGTGTAATGAAAATGAAAATTCTCACAACTGGACCAATAAATAACATCACAATAAATGGAGAAAACATTGACGTTTTCCAATACTTAAATTTGCTTGGATCCACTATCAACATTCAAGGCAGCAAGCAGCCAAGAAATGAAAGAATTTATTTTATTAGGTAAATGTGTTGCAAAAGACTTCTATAAAGTGTTTAAGAGCAATGATGTCACTTTGAGGACTAAGGTGTGTCTGACTAAAGCCATGGTATTTTCAATCACCTCATATGCATGTGAAAGGTGGACAAAGAATAAGGAAGACAGTAGAAAGAATGCATTTAAATTATGGTGTTGGAGAACACTGAAAGTACCATGGACTGCCAGAAGAAAAAACAAATCAGTGTTAGAAGAAGTAAGGCCAGGATATTCATTTGTTAGAAGTCAGGATGGTGAGGCTTTGTCTCTCACTCTTTGGACATGTTGTCAGGAAGGACATCTTGCTTGCAAAAGTGGAGTGTCAGCAATAAGAGAAGATCCCCAATGAGATGTATTGACATAGATGTATAACAACAGGCTCTAACAAAAATTATGAATATGGTATAGGATCAGGCAGTGTTTTGTTCTGTTGTGCATAGGTTCACTATTAGTTGGAACTGACTTTATGCACCTAACAACAGCAGCCCACCCTTAATCTTCTTATTGGTTTATTATATCAGGTCACATCATGAGGGAGCATCACACAACTGCTGAACTACTGACAATCATGATCCATCCAAGCTGACATATATTTGGGGTACACACAATTCAATCCATGACAACTACCTTGTGAAGCACCATAATTTTCTGCAAATAGCACACCCACAAAAATAACGTAAATAATATTTAACAGCAGAAATGACAAAATTAAGTAAACACAATTTTGGCACACCATGCCTATGCATAAACTGTGCAAATGCCTCCTACCATTTCTAGAAGTGAATTTCAGTCTCAGCACCCTCACTCAAAAATTTGAAAATGTTACTTTTGAGCCTATGTGTATAATAAATATATGTAGTTTTTAAGTACCATTGTGTGGGTCTCTACTATAGCGACCCCTATATAGGGTTTCTGAAGAGTGGTTAGTGGGTTTGAACCACCAACCTTGCAATTAAAACCAACTTTGCCATCTAGTATGTTATCTTGAAGCACCACACCAGGACTCCATCATAAAGGTATAAGCCATGGTTAAGAAGCCAGAATTAAGTTTGGTGGTAGCTGGTAATGTCTTCCTGCACTGGAGAAAGCAGTTTGCAGGGCAGGGAAGGGATCCTGCCAGGAGAGGAATGGCGGGTGAAGGCCTGCTACTGGGAACCAAATGTGCCCATCAACAAGGACCAAGCTGAAGACTTAACATTAAACCCATTAGACAGAAAAAATGAAGTTCAAGTCATCAACATGTAAAATTATTAGTATGTTATGAAAATAACACTAGGTTCTAAAGTGTTATGAAAAGGGTTATAAAGGATTCTAAAGTGTTTATACACTGGTATGAAAACCATAAACTAGTCTCGATGGCACTTAACAACAACAACAAGTGTGTTATTTGGGTAAATTCAAGAACAACACTATTGTTATACTTCTTTTTGTTGTTGTTAGGTGCCCTGGAGTCCTCCAACTCATAAAGATCTTGTACAGGGCTTCTTTGGCTATAAATCTTTGCAGGAGCAAAAAGCTACAACTTTTCCCAATGAGTCGACCTACTGGTTTACAGTCCAGTGCTTATCTTACACGGGATAAGCCTCTATGCTCCCCATACATAGTTTTACAAGGAATAAAAAAATTGGAGACTTAGACATCACAGTACTCGGCCAGGGCTCAGAGAGAGTGCACCAGTGGCAACCTAAATCCCAGAGCCCAGCTTTCCACACAGGCTCCTGAGACAAACCATCCTTTCTGAGTCCCTTCAACTCTCCTCCTTTATTTAGCATTTGGAATCTCTCCTGAGACTAAAGATGAACAAGCACGTTATAAATCTTTAACAGGAAAAAGAAACCGCTTGGGAGGCTCTTTACCGCCCAGGCCGATTAGGGGAGTATTTGGATAGGGCAGCTTTCCAGGTGAAGTTTTTTTTTTTGCGGCCCCCGAGATCCTTTAGGAAGCTTGCCGGCACAGACGCGCACTCTCTCCCTGACCTGGGGCGGCGCCAGGGGTGGCAGCGACCCAGAGGCTGTGAATTCCGAGAGGTGCTGCCGCGCCTTCGCCTCCGCAAGGGCCTGGATTCCTTGCAGTTCCCAGACCCGGGTGGCGAGTCTTACCTCTGGTTCTCTGGGTGGGTCCCTGTGCTACCCGGCTCAGCCAGGAACTTGAGCCCAGGGCAACTTTAATCACGGTTGGAGTTTTTTTCCCTTGCCAATTCGAGGGGGCTTCAAAGTTCGTGGGAAAATCCCGTTATCGTTTCAGTTCCATTTCCTCACAAACTTTTGAAGCCCCCTGTATATTTCCCTGTTTTAAAAGGTGGCTTGACACCTTTTTTTTTTTTTTAATGTTTTATTGTGAATTATGTCGTAGTTTACATGGGAGAACATTAGCTTTACATTCATCCTATATATCTTTCATTGCCATGGTTACATTCCCCTCCATGCATCATCAACCAACCGTAGGGCATACCCTGCAAGTCTGCCCCCCCTCGTCAGCACACAGCCCTTCTCCCCCTCTGGGTCTAAAGTCCCCAGCAGCTCTATCTCTCCAAGTCATCATCTCTGCTTCCATCTCTGGCATCACTGCTTCTCTAGGTAGGGTCCCGCTCTCTGCTCTTCTCCTTTGATGGTCCTAGGGATCTCTGCTCCTAGACTGCAAAGTTAATCACTCCCCTCCTTGCTACAAAATGTCTACCTGTACATTTCCAACCCTCACAAACAGTCCTGATAACAATTATTCACTACTGTATCAAAAGAGACCTATCTGCATTTCCTTTCATCAGCCCTGCCTAGACAGATTGGATAGAACTCAGTGGATATTACACCTTCCTCCGCACCCTCTGGATCTAGATTACTTCTTGAAAGCTTGTAAACCAGTCACTTCTTGCCTTTAAAGACCCAAACCCCCCCATTTTGGGTAGCCAATTTCCAAGTTGCCCATCCCTGTCTACTCTGTGTATGGAGGGGATGGGAATGATCCTTGCTGTAAGGATTTGTTCCCTCTTTTGAGCTACTGCATCCTTAGGTGTAGGTCAAAGTCATCAAATTGTATCAGATTACTCTTTTTTCCCCCTCTTCTTTCTTCTTCTAGTTGAGTTCTGATCATCCAGTCATTGAAGTCAGGGCAAGTGGGTATTATCTGCAAGTGTGGGTGTTCTTGTGCATATGCCCTCTCTTCTTATCAGCTTTACTATCAACCATGGGCTTCACTCTCCACTCTAGTCCTCTGTGGCTATGTTGCTGACTCTGAGCCCAAGAGTCCCCAGGTTTTGCCACACTGTTGGCTAACCAGGTTCTCTTCCAGGTTTCACAGGAGTCTATTGAATGTTGTAGGGTTTAGCTTGCAGAGTCATTGCTGTTTTTCCCTCACTTCCGCTTATCGGTGATGAACATGATCACTAATCAGAGCGTGTATTCCTATGGAGTCTTAGTCTTGGAAGGGGGTTTGCTCTGAGGGGACCAGACCGCTTGGCTTTAACTTGCTTGTTCTTGTAGTAATCAGTCGGTCTGCCTTTATTGTTTTATATTTTTCCTGTTTTTCTTTGAAGAAGTATTTCTGTTCTTCTAGCCACTCCTTTCAAGCAGAAATTAACCACCTCTGAAGATTCTGGATGCTATTCAGGATTCCACCTATAGTCCTATGTAATGCAGAGGCTCTGCAGGAAACCTCCTTCACTGGGCACATTGTAGTACTACAATCAGTTATAAGCAGAAGATAGACTTACAAGCTTTCTATAGTGATATTTCTGGCTATTCCTTTATCTCACCCTCAAGTGTCTATTTTATAGTAGTATGCCAGGGAAATCAATATTGAAAAGACAGCCAAACATCTTAACATTATTTCCCTCTTCTGCCCATTCCAACCATGGAGTTGACACCTTTTTAAGGGTATAACTACTTGTGTAAGGGCCTGTAAGGCTCTAAGGGATCCCAATTGGGTGGCTTTGGTGACCCCTGTAATCTCCCTCCCTGGGGACACAAAATTGCCAGTGTGTGCACCGCCAGGGGTGCGCCTCCCTGTGGGTGTCAAATTTAGAGAAAAATGTTGGGGAGGGGTTAGGGGGTGGGGCATGGCGACGGGTACAGCCAGCTTGGTCACCAACAGCGTGGCCAGCCACTGGCCAATAGCGTTAGGCAGTTTAGGGTGAGCGTGAGTGTGGCCCAAGTGTTAGCAGGAGTTTCCCCAACCCCCACCTGTTTGAACTGGTTTTCAAATCGCGAAGTTAGATTGAATATGTTTTAAAAGTTGCAAGTTGGTATGAAGCAAGTGTGCTCCCCAGTCCCTCAAAGGAGTTGCAGGGCCAGTGCCTCTGAAAGAAAATGAGAAGTGTGAGGGCTGCGTGAAGGGAACGTAGGTGTGAAACGCTGTTTCTTGGAGATCGGTTTTAGGACCCAACGGGAAGCACGTTGGAATCTCTCTCTCAGGGAAGGAGAGGTGGGGCGGGCCGGATGGCTGGCGGCCGCTGGGCGCATGCGCGCGCGTCTTCTCTTGCCTGCCGCTGCGCTCCGCGGCGCGGAATAGAATGAAATGTAACAAAACAAGTCTAGCCTTTGTATCTGCTTAAAGGGGCCGCGGGCACTTCCCTCCAATCCTTCCCGCCCCCCCCAACCCCCGCTCCGAAACAGCGTCTTCAGGGCTCCAAGCAACTGGGCTAGAAGGGCTCTCCTCACCCTCTGGAACAGCCTGCCTGAGAGGAAAGACGAACCAGGCGAGAAGCAAAGAAGGGACATCGTATTTCCAACACGCAAGAAAGAAAGGAAGGAAGAAAAAAAAAAAAAAAAACTCCAAGCGGCGTAGAGTGGACTCTGGTCCGGGAGAGCACGGTCGGGCACCGGAACGTGGATCGAGAGGCACCGGAATGCAAACAAAGCTCGCGGGCGCCTGTGCAGGGCTCGTGGGGAAGCCCAGAAAGTTTGTTTTATGATGGCTTGAGTGCGTGAGTGTGTGTTGCGGAGCGAGGCTGCCAAGTTTCTCTCTCCCGTGGCGTTATTTGGGAGGAGATGGCTCTCTTATGAACCAGCAGAGGTTTGGGGGCTTTTGCTGGGGGGGCACCTGTCTCTCATTTTCTTTTATATTTTGGAGGAGGGGTGAACCTCATCATGTCAAAAGTGATTCAGAAGAAGAACCACTGGACTAGCAGGGTTCACGAATGCACCGTGAAGCGGGGGCCTCAGGGAGAGCTGGGGGTGACGGTGCTGGGGGGCGCGGAGAACGGGGAGTTTCCGTATGTCGGAGCGGTGGCGGCGGCAGAGGCGGCGGGGCTTCCCGGCGGCGGCGAGGGCCCGAAGCTGGGCGAAGGGGAGCTGCTTCTGGAGGTGCAGGGCATCCGGGTGGCTGGTTTGCCCCGCTATGACGTATTGGGAGTCATCGACAGCTGCAAGGAGGCCGTCACTTTCAAAGCCGTCAGACAAGGTAAGACGGGGCGCGCGCACCTCTGGGGGGCGTCCCCAGAAAACTACGCGGCCTGCAGGCTGTCTTCCCAACCTTGATTTCCCGCTTTATTCCTCGCAGTGCAGACAAGTGGGGGAAGTTGAGACCGTTCGCCCTGTCGTGGAGACATACACAAAGTTGTTGCAAGATTGTAGGTTGTTCGTCCACCTGCCTTTAGAAGAGGGGTCTGGGTTTGCGCAGGGGGAACTGGATAGACATAGCTCAGGTCTGGTTTGCCAACCTGATATCTCATCTGCCTAGAGCAGCACAGTCTAGCCGTTGTCTGAAGGAGAAGTGAACTGAGGCAGGGGCAAAGGTAGATTCCCAGCTCCTTGAGGGAGGGATACCGGGGGCGCTGCTGCGAACTGTCTTCTGCCACTAGGCTGTTTCCAGACCTGGAAAGTGGGTATGAAGGAGGGAAGGATCCCCAGTTTCTTGGATCCCTTCCATCAGAAAATCGGTTTAACCGCGCAATCCATCCGAGCAGACTGCCTGGCTGTTCCTAAGCCGCTGCCTGAATGAAGATCCTGCATTCTCCCCACAGCCGGATGACGCATATGTCTCCCCCATGCGTCCCAGCGCCGGGTGGGGGGAAGGGGCATTTCACTCCTAGCTCAAATGTAGCCCAAATTTACGCTGTCATCATCATCATCATTATCATCCAAGATAAGGGCAGTTAACCTTTAGTTGATGCTTAATAGCTGCTGGGCTCTGGGTGCTGCTTTATTTGCATGATCTTATTTTGATTTACAATTCTAAGAGTTGTTCTTATAAACCCCATTTAACAAATACGGATATCGGGACTGACTGGTTAAGTGACTGGCCCAAGGTCACACTGCTCCCCCAAACCTAGTTTGAACTGTAGAACCTTAAGCACTGAGAAGGAAGGGATGGGAGAGTGACCCTCAAGAATCTGAGGGACTGACTTGTGTCTGGGAATAGACCAGATTGTTTCCTCAGAAGCCAATACAGGAGAGGTTTACCTCTTAAAGGATGGAAGGTGCAGTTGGTTGGGAGGGAAGGGGGTTCCCCTTACAACTTGGTTTGAGGCAGCTGTCTCTACATCAGCCCAGCAGAGAAAACTGGAGTCTCTTAAAGGTGTCCCTTGTGTGACCGAACACCATGACGCAGTTCTATCCCTGAAAATGCCAAAGGAGCATGGTGAAAAGTTCCCACATGTGTCTGCCGGTGCAGAGCAACTGGAGGAATGTGTCACGGTAAAAAGGGTTGGTCTGGGCTTCTCTTGGAAAAAGAGACTCCTAGATAAAAGGGAAGAGGGGGCAGGTAGTGTTGGGAGATGAGGGGCTGACACCTCGTATGGAAAGCTTTACCATTTATGTTTCTATCTTTACACCTCCTCAAAGAAGCCTTCCTCTGGGCTCCCTTTATAAGTACCTGTGTGTGTGTTTTAATTTATTAGTAGTTATGAGTTGGGTCCCTCCCCTCATCTCCCAGGTAGTATGTTTACTGCAGGGAGCAACTGTGCCTCATTCATTGCTCTTCTCAGCCTTTGGTTGAGATCCTCCACCTCTGAGAATGTTTCCTTACTTGTAAAGTAATGTTTTTCTGGATATTATGTAACCCAATAAATGGAAACTGTGCAAAACATACTAAGTACACAGTAAAGGTGAGCTGTTGTTATGTTTGGAGTACTTACTTATTTGTAAATTTAGCTTTGGATGTTAGGACTTGATCATATTGTAAATGGAGTTCTGATATAGCATTGTAGAATGAGCACAAGATCAGTTTGAACTGCAAGGTCAGTGGTTCAGAACTCACCAGTTTTTGTTGTTGTTAAGTGCTGTTGAGTCTATTCCGACCCATAGCGATCCTGTATAGGGTTTCCAAGGAGCAGCTGGTGAGCTTAAACCACTGACCTTGCAGTTCAAAGGACTTTGCAGTCGAACACAGTAGCCCACTGACACATTAGCCCACAAGGAGCTCTAGTAGCGTAGTGATTACAAATTGGACTGCGAACCGCAAGGTTAGCAGTTCGAAACTACCAGCTGCTCTGTGGTAGAAAGATGAGGCTTTCTGCTCCCGTAAAGATTTACAGCTTTGGAAACCATGTTTAGGGTCGCTATGGGTCAGAGCTCACATGATGGCATTTAACAACAACACTAGCCCACAGAGCCACACCAGGACTCTTCACTCCTCGGAAACCCTAAACAGGGTCACTATGAGTGGGAATTTACTTGACGGCACTTAATAACAGCAAGTGTAGTAAAGAAAATACTGTCAGGACATTTATAATTGGAGTGGCCATAGGTCTTGGTTTCGGAGAATGGGCTGGAGGAAGGACAGATGTGGTGGTATCTAACGGATCCATGGGGACTTAATTTGTCGTGTTTGATCACTTCTCTTCGCTGGTGATCAGAGAGCCAGGAGGCATCATCCCAGGATTTCCTCATTAATGAGTTTAGGAAGGGTTGGTGAGATAATCAAGTGGGTTTGGAACTGGGTTCAAAGAGAACTATAGTATATCAGGACTGTTCTGTGTGGACATGGCTGTTCACAGCAGGTGTGTGTGTTATGTATCTTCCCTTGCAATGGAGTAGAATAACAATGTTGATGGGGAATCTCAAATGCCCTGGGAATCCACAGTGTAAGAGTTACTACACATAATCAATACACAGACTACAGTTAGCTTTTTTAATTTCTTTGTTACCAATAAAGGTGGCACTAGAAACCACTTTGCTGGCTCGGTGGTGGTGGTAGTGTGCCGTGAAGGGTGGGTGGAGTCGGTCCTACTCATAGTGATCTTGAATAGGGTTTCTGAGGCTATAAATCTTCATGGGAGCAGAAAGCCTCATCTTTCTCCCATGGAGTTGCTGGTACTTTCAAACTGCTGACCATGAGGTTAGCAGTCAGCCTCATAACCATTATGCTACCAGAGCTCCTTTATATACACACGTATACGGAGACTATGTTTTAAATGGCATAGCAGAATTACTCTTCCTGTGTCTTAATCAAATCAGGTAGGCTCAGACATGGTATGTGCCAAAGATCAAAGATGTTATTTCTGTACTGTCTGCACATGGAGTTTGCTACTGACAACCATGTGGGTCACTCCAGGTGCTGTCTGAATGGAAATGTCATAGTTTTCTTGAGGGAGAAGATTCTGCTTTTTACATTTTATGGCAGCTCTCTGGAAAGACGCATGTACCAAAATAGTCTGTCGTAAATAGTTTTAGAGTCAGGACTGGATTGTGAAGGAAGGAAACTAAATGGATCTGCAGGGTTGGAGTTGGTTCATTCTAAATGGAGAACACTGTCCTTTTTCAGAAGATGCCTAAACTAGGAAAAACTAAACAAAACTTTATTGAAGTAGCATTAATTTACAGTAAAAAGCACAAATCTTAAGTATGTAGTTTGTTGGGTTGACAACTGTGTAAACTCATGCTATCTCCAATCAAGTTAGAGAACTTTTCCATCACCCCAGAAATATTTCTCATGCTCCTTTCCCATCAGTTCTCCACGCGCCCTCCCCAGCAAATGCAATTGTGAATTCTATTATAGAATAAAAATAAAATAATATAGAATGTACTCTTTTTTTTGCTCTTTTTGTTCAGTAAAATTTATGGAGAGTGTTTGTACATTGCTGCATGTTGCATTTTTTGTTTTATTTTAAAAACTTTTTATCGAGAATTGAGTAAAGGTTTACAGAACACAGTCCCACATTCAACAAATTATACACTTCAGGACCATTGTTGAAAACAGTTCAAATATTTTCTTGCTAAATGAAACATTCAGTGAAACATTCTATGATGGTTACATATTGGTGTTTTTTAGAAATTGTTGAGTCCAGCATAGTGGTTACAAATCAGACTGCGAACCTTAAAGTCAGCAGTTCAAAACTACCAGCTGTTCTGTGGGAGAAAGATGAGGCTTTCTGCTCCCATAAAGGTTTCCAGCCTTGGAAACCCTACACAGGGTCGCTATGAGTTGAATCGACACCATGACACATTACCACCACCACCACCATCCCATTGTATAAATGTAGCAGTTTCTCTAACCGTTCATGGACATTTGGGCTTTGTCTTTTATGACTAAGGCTGCAGTAATATGTTCCAGTTGCTCCACGTCTTTGATGTTGTCTATCTGCTGACTTTTAGCCATTGTAGTATGTGTATGGAGCCCTGGTGTGACGCTGTGGGTTAATGCGCTGGGCTGCAAAGTCGGTTTGAACTGCAAGGTTTATTGGTTCAAGCTCACCAGTTACTTCTCATAAACCCTATACAGGGTCCCTATGGGTCGGAACTGACTCAACGGCACTTAACAACAACAACAGTATGTGTACATGGAGAAAGAAAAAAAGGAAACATTGATGTAGGATGTAGCATATATTTAGCATTTACTAGCATGTGTCAGTCCCTTCAGTATGTGTTTTATTTGTACTCTATTGTTAAATGATGTTGAGTAAATTTCTACTCAGAGTGACTCATGCAACAGAGTCTAATAGGGTGTTTTTGGTTGTAAGCTTTACAGAAGTAGATTGCCACATTTTTCTCCCTTCAGTTGAGGAGTGAGTTCAGCCTACCAACCTTTTGGTTATTTGAGGAGTACTTAACCTTTGAGATATCAGGGCTCTGTTTTTAGGTCCTGAAAGTGGGGCTTGCCAGACTGCAAAGCCATTTGAACTGCAAGGTTGGTGTTTCAAGCTCACCAGCTGCTCTTCGGAAATTCTATACAGGGTCGTTATGGGTCGGAATCGACTCAATGGCAGTGAACAACAAAGTGGGGCTCAGATGTTGGAAACAGGTTCAGAGAATATAGGTAACTTTTCCAAGGGTCATACAACAAGTGACAGCAGTAGAGCTGGAACCTAATTATATCTGATTACAAAGGCCGCGTGCCCAATTCCTAGGACAGTGGGTCACAAAGTATGGTCCCCAAACCACTGGCAACTTGTTAGGAATGGAAATTCCTGAGCTCCATCCCAGACCTGTTGATTCAGAAGCTTGATGTTGTTGCATCAACTC